AATTATTTAAATATTGCCCAGAAGAACCGTGTGTCCGTGCGTCCTTAAAGCGAACCCTGAAGGTGGTAGCTCGAGCCTGCTACACATTACACACACTGCTGTGCTGTCCAGTGCTGTGTGGCTTCAGGTTAAGGATGTTCAGCTCCTGTGTTATGACCAATAACCCATCTTGTATCATCAAGTGCATGAACACACATTCTGCCATCTTCATTTGAATTTCTTTGTCATTTTGAACTTCATTTTGTTCACGATCTTTCAGTCGTAAATGTTGTAAATGTGATAAATATATTTCAGGACAACACCATGCCATATTCATATTTCAAGCATTTGCTGCACAGTTCCTGTGAATAATACAGGGCAGAATAATTGCTGGATCTACATTTTACTCCTCTAACTTTGTTTGGACCAGTGCTTTGGAACAGTCATCCCAGTCATAGACCATCAGTGGTAACGCCCACCAGTCTGGATCGTGACACACAGCTTCTGAGAAACATCCTTGGCTGTGGTGGGACTGCAATGCTAGGTGCATTGGACTGAAACTCAGCAGTTGTTACATTAAATTGAATTTATCATTTACACTCCTGATAATTGTTTATTGTTAAAAGGATCTCCATTATCTGTCACCAAAGTGGAACGAGCTAATCTTCCTGGGGGTCCAACAAAAAGAAAAATCACTTAACAATAATAAACTAAAAGCAGTAAAACATTGTATCATTATAAACATCGTCAGAAATATTGCAGAATAATTTACTACATTACAGGTCATTTAGCTGATGCTTTTATCCAAAGCGACTTACATTGCATTTTTAACCCATGGCTTTTCTATTTTAGCCCAGGGAGCAATTAGAGGTTAGGTGTCTTGCTCAGGAACAATTTGACATGCGACATGGAGAAGCCGGGGATCGAACTGCCAACCCTGTGGTTAGGGGAGTTAAGCACACTTGCTCTACTCCATGCGCCACTGCCACCTTCATATCAGTATTACATTCATTATTTAATTCATACAGTAATTATATCCATTCCCTACTCACAATTTTAAATAGTGCATTCTCAGATAGTACTTGAAAGAGACTTGATATTCATTTTACGTATATACAGTGGGCAATTATTCCAATGATTGACGGCACGATAAATAACTGTTCTCTTTAAAGCATTAGATTTTGGGTGTGGTAACATCATCTGGCCACATCATCAGCTGACAGCAGCTCTGTTTTGGGAAATTTGTAATCTCTTTAATTGACCTTTTAGATGTAGATAACTATACGGGTGCACAATAATCTAGGTGACATAAAATGAGAGATTTAGCCACCTGTCCCCCAATCAGTGTGTTTACATTATGGTATAATTCGAATCTTTGCTTAGTCGGACTATGCTATCTTTTGGGGCAAGTGCTATTATCCCAATATACATGGCAGTGAATAAATCGAATCATTGGCCGAAAGCATGCCATATCCGATACGATAGGTGGCGCTGTTTTCATTACAACTAGTTGTGATACAGCCATTTCCGCTTGACCTCTTCACCACTACCAACAACAACATCAACATTACGAGAAAGATGGCGAACGGAGAGCAAGGTGAAGCTACATCCCTCTACTATTTCTGCATGATGTTAATAGCAGTACAGCGAATGCGAATGGCGCTACTGGCTGATTTGATAACGGAGAGAAGACGCCGTCGGGATCTCAAGCATGCGCAAAGACGCAAAGACCAGTTCCTTATCCAATTCACCGTCACATGCCGCAATAGTCGAACTATCAACTGGATCGGATCGAGTTATCCAGGGGTGTTAGTCGGATCGTAGTCGGGCCGCACAGTCGGACAAAGGTGTTTACATGAAACGGATAATTCAATTTCAGTCCGACTAAGCCAGTTATTCGAATCCATGTAACCACGTTGAATGTGTGTAGGGACATAAAGACATTACCTCACCATAGAGATACCACAATCCATCTTCCAGACAAGTGCATACTCCTCTTTGATGACAGTCTGACTCAATCCCAAGATAATTGATTTGGTTTTCGAGATGTTCCGTACCAACTTATTTCGTTTTCAAAAACCATATTTAACTCAGCTGATAAAACATTGTCCAGTTCACTGACAGTTTTTGCAGCATAATACAATGTAGAATCATCAGCATACATTTTTACAGTTGCTTTACACAATACTGATGGAAGATCATTTGCGAAGATGGCGTATAGGAGTGGTCCAAGGCAGCTCCCTTGCGGGACTCCACAATCCAAGACATTAGAATTAGACCATCTGCCAGTGTAATAAATGCATTGCACCCTATTTGTAAGATAACTCTTCATTAATTGGATCGCGGTTGGACTAAATCCATAGCATTCTAGTTTACCGATGAGTACATTGTGATCAATGACATTGAATGCCGCACTAAAATCAAGTAATACTGCACCAGTCATCTTTGAGTTATCCATTTTCTTGAGGCAGTCGTCTGTAAGGGTGGAACAAGTTGAATGGAGCGGTCTATAAGCATGTTGGAAGTTTGTGTTTAAGCCGTTACAGTCAAAGTATTCCTGTATTTGTGAACTTACTCTTATTGTAAGTCGCTTTGGATAAAAGCGTCAGCTAAATGACATGTAATGTAATGGACTATTCTCTCTATCAGTTTACTAAGAACTGGGAGAATAGTGAGTTCTTGTCTGCCATCTTTAGGTAAGGGAATCATTTTACCTTCTTTCCAGATAGTGGGAAAAAAACCTTTCATTAAACATGAATTTAATATTTGACATAACGAACCGCAAACATAGTCACCTGCCTGGCCAATTACTTTACTGTCCAGCATGTCAGTACCCACTGGTCTGTATTTGGGAAGGGACTTCAAGAACTTCCTTACTTCCCGCTGATAAGATGGCTGTTAAGATGGCTAGCTGTGTAGTGTCGGTTCAGTCTGTGCTTTCATCAAGCGCCACAGAGTATGCAGTGAAAACGTTTTTTTGCGTCACTAGTCATGAATGTCACTTGCTCGTATATCCAATTTGCCACTGTGTTTGCCGATAGAGAGATATTGCTGAGCAAGCTCTTCTTTTCTGGACACAGAAGATTGGCGACATGCAACATGCAATCCTTCAGAAACCGCCCTTACGTGAACGGCATTCCTGCTTTGCCTATTAGCTCACTCACCACGTGACTCTGGAGCTGCGTTGGTCATTTGTCCCTCTGGTCTTCCAGGTACTTCTCATACTGTTTTCTGTACATATCAGACAAGCAGCATTTCCTTTAAACTCCTCAAAAAATATCGCAATATCCATCTATCTTGAAACTGGAAAGAGATATATTTATTGTTTGCAACTTTAAAAAATCTGATAAAACCTGCGCTCTTCTCATGCAAAACTGCCCGGTCATGTGCAGTCACCTTTGACCTCTGCCATTATTTTGCATCAAAGAAACTACATGTTGTATTGGAATTACTTTTTTATTTACATATGATTTAAGGAGCAGTTTAAATTAATAAACGTAAAACAAATACTAATTAAAGGTGGCACGGTGGCACGGTGGTGTGGTGGTTAGTACTGTCGCCTCACAGCAAGAAGGTCCTGGGTTCGACTCCGCCCAGTGGCCTTTCTGTGTGGAGTCTTGTTATGGTCCGGCTCAAAGGCTACAACAAATAGAGGAAACCACGCTCCAGGGATTACCAGCCAAAGATGTTTATTCACCAAAGTAACAAACAAAACACAACACAACACAACACAGCAAAGGAAAAACGCCATTGTGCTGGGGAACAGGAGAAAACCAGCAGTCACCCTCAAACCAGAAAGAGGGAGGTTTTAATGCAGACAGTGGCCAGCTGCGTCTGATCTGCCTGATGGCCTCAACTCCACTCCACCAGGACGTTCACCCTGTAACACACACAGACACCCACAAATTCCCTGGGGCCGTCACAGTCTGCATGTTGTCTGCGTGGGTTCTCGCCGGGTACTCCAGCTTCCTCCCACAGTCCAAAGACATGCTCTGGGGATTAGGGCATGGGGGACTGGGGACTCTAAATTGCCCGTAGGTGTGTGAGTGTGAGTGAGTCGTTTGTCTCTGTGTAGCCTTGTGATTGGCTGGTGACCAGTCCAGGGTGTACCCCATCTCGTGCCTGAAGTTGGCTGGGATAGACTCGTGCGACCTGTGTGCGGGATAAGCGGTTTGACAATGGATGGATGGAAATATTAATTAATTAATATTTTCAGAGAAGCATAATATGATATTGTTGGCATTATGTAGCCGTGGGAAGGGGCACGGCAATAGCTAGATGCAAGTTTAATACCCCCTCTCTATATGTTGATTGATTGGTGGCTTAGTCTCCAGTTATTGTTTCCTCTGCTCAAATGTAGTTAAAGGAATACATGTGGACAAAAACCTTTAACAAGTTCGACTTCGCTGATGGGCTATCATAGGTTTAAACTTCAAAAGAGTTAAATGTTTCCAGTGCGGGTTGGTATAACACAGATGCAATGGACTACTACTGAAAGGTTGTAGGATTTCCACCACATATTTGTTTTCTGTGACATTCAATAAGCCAGACTTTTCAATATGCATGGTCCTCTGCGTTTCCATGTAGGCAAATTCGTTGTTGCACTTACAGGTCAGAGAGGCTGTCAGAGAATACGGCCTTTCCAAGTTATCAAAAATGCCAGGATGTAAGAATCTAAAATGATGGATGAAGGAATAATATTTAAAGCAAGAGATTGATGAATGGATGGCTGAAGACTTGTGATTGACTCTTCCTATAAGTGATGAAATCATCTGAGTCATTTACAGAATATGTGAAAGCAACAAGAGCATAATTGGAGATTTTCAGTGTTTCTAAAATTGTATTTTCCTTCATTGATTGTGCCAAAGCAAATATCAAGTCATAATTTATATTTAAATGAAGATGTACAGTTGCAATGTACTGCAGCTGTAGGACAACAGATGGCACCACTGCGCGGTTCTGTAGACCCCGCTCGCCACAGAGACGAGTCCACGTTATTCCCACTGTCTGCCTCCGCTCTAGTTCCCCTCCCTCCGTCCCCTCCCCCCCTTACTCCTTTCTCTTCCATTGGCTTACAGTATACACCTATCTCCCAAGCATCAGCAATATCTCCATCGGTCTACGCGGTACGCAGCGCTACTTCGGAGCAAAACATGGCATTTTTGCGCACCGAAGAACCGCTCTCCGCCACTGCGTACCTATGCGGCTTTCTGTTGATCACCTCGGCCTGGGTGGTCGTTCCGGGACCAGTGCGCTGTGACAGCGGGGGTTTAAACCGGCGCGGCGTGGAGGACCGTACGTTTGACATGGGCGGCGGAGACAGAGGATCCTTGTCGGGCTTAGTAACGGATGGGGACGAGCAAGCCGTCGGGGAAGAGAGCTCACGCCGCTTCAGGAGAGAGCTGTCCCGGGAAACACAAATGACCCTGCTCAGCAGCTCGTTCGTGCTCAAAGGGGATGCAACACACAACCAGGCGATGGTCCACTGGACAGGAGAGAACAGCAGCGTGAGTAGCCCATCCCCGTCCCGTCCCGCTTGTACATGCACCGTCTCCAAATTTCCCTCTTTGTCACATTCCACCATGCAGCACTACGGCCACAGCGCACATCGCCAGAAACAAGTTATTGTTCTCGCAGCACGCTACCAATGCAGGCTCCAACTGCGCCGCTCTCCATCGTGTGCTTTTTACGCATCTAGGTGGTGCCTCCAGGACCAAGAATCCTAAGACTTTTCGATTAGGACTTTTGAATCGTGTTTATGTCAGCGGCTCCACAGTCTGACACACTGCCGGCCCATCGCATCACATTGGCCCGGGCTCACGAGCAGTTCGTTGTTGTCTGTTAACACTGTGCTGTGCAGAGGCAGCATGGTTGGGGTTACATTTGTTTATAATTGTTATTGGTGTTACACTATTTAATCTGTTTTGCTGATGTTCAACGGTGTCCTGTGGGTAAGTGACTCACTGAACAGCACAATAAAAAGCACTCATGCCACACTGTATGGTGCATTCAGAGGTCCAAGGACGCTCAGTGAGTGGACAAGAGCTGGCCTGTGTGGAGACAAGGAGCAAGCATTAACCAGACAGCTAGGTCCTCGGTTGAGTCACATGAAGCCATGAATAAAATATTAATGAGGCTTTATACGGTCATGAATTTTGCAATGCCTTGTTTATTTGAGGCTTAAAACGCAAAAATGGATGAAGCCTACTTCATGCATGAACCGCCAGTGTCTGCCTTATGCTCTTTATGCAAACAGCTGCTTTGCCTGTGATATGAGCAAAGACAAAAATAGCACAACATCTGATACATCCACTAAAGTCCTTACTAATATTCCTGAAACACTATTACTGAATTAAACTGAATAATAAGGTGATATTTAAGTTACTGTTGAAAAAAAGAAAAGTGGATGAATATCACCAGGATTTCTACTTAGGGGCTGGTCAAGTGAGAGCATCCACACATCCACATGTAAAGAAGAGCAGCTCTTGTGATGTATATTGACAGACGGTGGGCAAATTTCAGTGGTGGTGCCTGGCGGGGACATTACTTGCAAAAAGAGCCTTTTGGTTCGGAACACAATGTTGTTGTATTGGCCGGATCTGGAGAAAAAAAATTGCGAGAGAAAATAATCTGGCCGCGAAACAGCCAGTAGTCCTATTTTCCATCAAATTAATTTGAGTTTAATAAAAAATTATTTGGTAAATAATATGAACTGTGGCATTTGCTGCTCACCCTCAATTTATTGGATTAGCAACACAGGCAGAGATTCAATTTGAAGCGGGTCTAGGTAGCGTCACACATTGATGGGTCCAAGCGGCAGGGAGAATGTTTTTTCAGAAGCCATAAATCTTGTACACCATACTCCTAATGCATAAGAGAGGCAGATCATCGTTTTGATTTCACCCAGAGATTAAAGGGGTGTCAAGGTGTTTGTAATTGCCATGTTTAATCTCAAAAGCTTCAAAGTTGAAGTTCAATTTTTATGTGTAAAGGAATTAAAGCTACAAGAAAACTACAGTCACAGTTTTTGGTTGTTTTTTACCAGATGAAGCCTATTTGTGGAAACAGCCCAGTGGAGTGTTGCCAACTTCTTTCTCGCTAGATGTAGCAATTTAGTTTTCAGACCCTTTTAGCGACCTAACAGGAACAAATTGTACAGTTGCAATTTAAAGATGTTTTTAAACCGTCAGGAGAAAAGCAAGAAATATACTTAATTATAATATGTTGTAAATTCAGATCCAATATTTTGTGCATTGGAAAAAAAAAGAGCCAAGGTACAGCAGCGGCAGTTGTGGTGAATCACAGGCAGAGAAGTCTGTACGACTTTAGTCGTTGAAGGTGTGGGAGCATTTCACACTAAATAAACCATGTAAAAACAAGTGTGTCAATTGCAAAACATGCAAAATCAACATGACATGGCACGGGACCACCGCAATGATGATTCAGCACCTTAAACAAAAGCATATTGGAGTCCTTGATGAAGAGGAAGGGAGTTCAACAGCAGGTCACTACAGAATCATACTTTTGTCCTGTTTTGAAGTGAAGTCAGCAGCTCTTCTGATGCTGCTTTTTACTTGTTCTCCAATGTAACATGAAAAGTCTAATGGCAATAGTAATCTATTGTACCATTTTGTCCTGACACCAGCACATACCAGTTGACATCAATTAAGTCCCTAAAGGATTGTTTCATTTATTTGCTAAAAAACAGCTTTACACATGGGACCTTTTAAATTTAAAGTTGAATACTATAGCTCAGAGGACATTTTAGGAAATGATTAGATATTATTTCCATAAGAAAACAACCACATTCAGTGACACACACATCAACATTCATGCATGCATATTTTTGAGTCCCAGTAGACATCCTGAGATGAGACTGTATAACAAGATACCAGCATTCAGAATGAAAAGAGCCTCCAGTATTAAAAAGGACACCCTTTGTTCCTCTCTCTCTCCACTCTGTTGATCAGCCCAAGGGAACTTTGAGCTCTGTTCGTCTTCCCTCTATTTCTGTCCTGTCTTTATGTTAATGAAGAGCGTCTGTATGTGTGTGTGTTTGTATCAGTGAGAAAACAGCCTTCCACATTTAATAAGGTTTTTGCATGTATTGATAGGGAAGGGTATTGTTTGGGTTTTTCTGATACCGGTGCTAAAAGAATACTTTTTTATAAAGTATTGTTTATTGTTTAAAAGAAAGCTCAAAAACAACAATTTATAACAAAGAAAGTTATTTTTTATTGTTTATTTATTATACATTTTTTTCTTCAAATTAAACAATTAATATTAACTGTTTAAAGTATACTGTTAATATACAATAATACAAAACACTTTGCTTTAAACTACAGCTTCAAACTTTTTAACTCAGAATATGTACAATATATTAACAATTTAGAGTATACTTATTGTTTCCTAATACTAACACTTCTTAATATGTTAGTTAATTGGAATTTGGGGAATATTAATCATTTCATTTTAGATCTATGCTCATTGTGCACGAACTAAAGATATGTAACATATATTGAAAAACCTTTGTTAGATTGAAGCTTCTCGTTTGTGCTTCCGAGCACCATTTTAGCCAATCAGGTCAAACAATATTCTGCCTGCAGGATGCATCTGATGAAAACAAGACATTGGTTGAATTTAAATTAAGTCTTTAGAGGGAATAATAACGTTTTAAATACGGTATTTTATTTGCATGGTAGATAAAGGTAAAATTAAGTCCTATGTGTCAAACAGAAGATAAAACATGACAAAAAAATTACTTAGATTTGGGTTGAGAAGACCTCCTGTGGGTTGGCTCGGCAAAAAGCCGTAGTTTTTATTATACAGTATGTCTGCGAGGAAGGGGGTGGAAGATGTGTTTGTGTGTGCTTGCCTGTCTGCACATACTATAATTGTAGTGTGTAAGCACTGCCACTAGAGCCCCTCTGAGAGTTGTGAACTGCGCACCAGCAGGATTTCTCTTACGCAGCAATACATTCAGAGATTGGATCTTCTTCGCTACGTGCTATGCCGTCCTGAACGTCTATCAAAACCCCCCATCTAAATCACTTTCTGAAGCCAATAGCCAACAACAGCATGGAGCCCTCCACACAAATCAGCTCTAGCGGAGCCAAGCCTCAAATCACTGATCATCTGATTGAAGTATGACCCTACTCTCCACTCACAAGTGGCCTTGTGAATTAGAATTTTTTTCCTATCAAACCTACACAGCTGTGTAACACGGTTATACTAAACTATACTTTAAGTCGTTGTTATTGATTGTGAAACTTGTTTGTAACAGGTCAGTTGTAGTGTTTTAGGAAGACACTGGTGGGCGGTCGTGTCCATATCCCTGACAGAACAGTGTTTCCCGTAGGTTTACAACATTGGGGACGGACTGGCCAACGGGGGGGGGGGGGGGCAGTCACCTGCTTTGTGTCCGCAGGTGTCCATCGTGGCGGAACTGCCGCGTGCAGGGAGGACTGACAATAAGTGCCATTGCAGAAGGAATTGTGCTGTCAAGGTTGAGATATATAGCCCCAAATCATGGAAACCTGTGAGGTGTGAGCCAGAGTGAAATTGGAGCAGGATGTACTTGATATTGGTTGATAAAACATGACACTGTATTTCTTCTATGATGCCTATGCTTGTATGTTTTGGCTGTGGTACAGCCTTGTTAAACCAATTACCCTTCATCTTCCCCACAGCCTATTTTACCAACAGGCCATTAAGAAGCCAAAGAATACAATGTTTGATCAGTTTAAATCAAGAACTCTTCGTTGTGTTTGAGTGTGTTTTCGTACTTCATCTGCAATGGTTTCGTTGCTCTGCTGGGTTTTTTATTGCATGACAAAGAAGGGAACTTTGTTTCCTTTCTGTTTTAATCATTATAACTGGCCCCTAGCATGGCTTCCTGTTTCCAAGAAGCTGCACATATTTCCCAGTCAGCTGCTGACACTGGCCCAACACGCAACATATTTTGGCACAATGGGTGTGCGTGTTGTAGAAAAAGTGGTTGTTATGGGTGGGTCTCTTTCCACATCTGTTGCAATGGTTGCCAAAATCCCTATTGCTTCATTCTCATTAGAGGTCATCGGCAATCAATGGATTGCCTGCTGAGATATCTGCTGCATTTTGAAAAATGGTTGGAGTTTGTTGGTAGCGATGCAAATAGTGTACATAAGTCAAATATGTCTGATGTACATGGGGGACTATCATGCAAGAAACTCTGTCATCTTAGAGTGAGCTACAGGAGCTCTTAAATTAATTGGACGGAGCCACTGCTCTGAGAAGTGGCGCACTGTGGAGGAGTGGATCCATGTAGAATATCTACGTAAATTCTTCACTATAATTAATAAGCTGTAGCTAAAAGCTGGTATGCTGATTCATTGGATCACTACCAAGACCAGAGTATTGAGTTGATGTTTTTCCCGTTGTTAAGAAGTGGCAATATTATTAATAATATTCTAGGGAAATACAGTGGGGAGAACAAGTATTTGATACACTGCTGATTTTCCCACTTACA